GGGGCCAGGCAGATAAGATAAATGTCTTAAGCAGCCAGGTTTAAGACAGTAGGAGATGGTGGGGTCTGGGTCAAACCCCACTCTTCTTAAAAGCATTTCCTTTAAAACAAAACAAAATAAAACACAATGAGCAAACAGAATACAAAAAACTGCTCTGGCCAAACCAAATATATTGGTCAGTTGAATCTGGACAGCTTTTTGACTCCTGTGGTAGCATAAGCTTGAGAAAGAAGGTACCTGTGGAAAATTGTTTTTCCTATAAATGGAAAAGAAGGCTGACCTGAAAAAGAGGTATAGACAAGGAACGTCTTTGCTACATAACTGCACAGAAGTAGTAGGTGTTGTGAAAGTTATACTAGCCTGGGGGCCGCAGGCCCTGGTTTTGGCATTTCCTAGCTTGGGATTGGTTATCTAGCTAAAACCTACCTCATAAAATAATCTGCAAATTTCTTTTTAATCTTTTTTTTTCTCCTTCTTCTCCCCAAAGCCTCCCAGTACAGTGTTGTATATTCTACTTGTAGGTCCTTTTGGTTGTGCTATGTAGGACGCTGCCTCAGTGCGGCTTGATGAGCAGTGCCATGTCTGTGCCCAAGATCTGAGCCAGCGAAACCCTGGGCCACCGAAGCGGAGCATGCGAACTTAACCACTCGGCCACGGGGTTAATTAAAATGTTTTAAATAATGTTAAGTTTAATAAATTAATGTTAATTTATTACAAGTCCAAGGATCATATTATCAGCTTTTTTTCTTTCAACTAGAAGTTGCTGTTATCATTGTTTGGATTCCATGTGACAAAGAGCTGGTGCTGGGCTAGTTCTTTCTCTCCCTTTCTGCTGTCATCCTTTGCCTGTGATATTACCATTCTATGAAAAAGATGACTTCGGGTAATAAATTGGTGAAACTTACTTGTGACATTTAGGAAAATGGATTCAAGAGTTGTTAGACCATATGTTATGTAATTTTTCCCACTCAAGAACAAAGGATTGGGTATTATTGAACTTGATCACTAAGGGTTATTTGTTAACAAAAAACAAATGTAAACCTTGTAGATGGAAATGGTCAAACAATTAAATGTCATCTTGCCACAGGATTATGCTATTGGAAATGTATTGAGTATCTGACGCCAGATGCTCAATTTCTCTGGGAAGCTGGGAATAAGAACTCTTATTGGTTTTGCTTTGTTTTACCATAAAAGTCCTACTTTCATCACGTATGGGAAATCTCATGGCGAACCGTGTCTTTTGCTGTGAACTTTGTCTCAGTGCACTAGTATTTTTATTTTTAAAAAGTTATTTCCCACTTGAACTTGATTCTCCTGTATTAGCAAAAAAGGTCTCTTGAGTCTGGGAAATGTTAACAAAAGATTTTGATGTAATAACAGAGGAAAGTTATAATAATGATTTACTCTTTATAATTTACTTTTTCCTTTTTTCCCCCTGGTTTTTGTCTAATTTTTTCAAATTATGAGAGTCAGACTTTATGAATCTCAAGTGTTTGATTTTCCAAGTCCTTTAAAAATATCTTCTGTCTTTGGAAGCGTTTTGTCTCTGCATATCCTCTACTTGATAATTGCCAAATAAATATTATTTTGACTTAGGCCTACAACATTCATCAATATTTCTCTGTTTGTTGCATTAACACAAAAAGTCTTTACTTCAGTGTGATGTAGAAGCAAATGACCGGTTTTTGGGATAAACAGAGAGGAGTGTAGGAAATAATTAAAACTCACTTCATTTTATTCTTTTCCAGAAATGCATTTAAGCGGAAAGTATTACAGTATATCTGCTTTTGCTGAACTTCATTGAAGCCTAAGGAATGCCCTTCCCATTTCTGGGTGGTTACTCCATTGACTTGCTTTCCTGCTAGTCTTTAACAATTATGTTGCTATGATTTCAACTTGACACAGACATAACAATGAAACTAAATTGTTAAGCCCAACATTTATATAAATTGGTTAGACATATCGCCCGTTCAATTAAACTTTCTGAGAAAAGTTAATAACTGGTGCGAAAGAAGAATTAAAACTATGCATATATTTTTGTAAATGTTTATAGAATAATAGAAAATGGCTTGTGCTACTTGTTAAATGTTTTAATTTTCTGCATTTCCAGTTATTTTTGAACCAGATCTATTAATTACCTGGCGATTTGCTAAATTTTCATTAAGAAACAGAGTCATCAGCATGCTAATTGCCTTGAGATATTTACACCAGCTATTTTAAAGATCAGTAGAGTACTTCAGCAACCCAACTTGCTCCTAAGGAAATGAGGCTGGTTTACAGTGTAGGCTGTGATCTGGTTTTCAGTTTATCTGAACCAGGTGTTTAGCCCAATTGAAGCTTTCTATTCAATTCTCTGGAGGAATGGCTGAAAATGGAAATGAACTTGGGGGGCACACAATGGCCTAAATGTTCAGCTGGGAATGTGAAACTTTCCACTCAGAAATGCCTCAGAGTCCAGTAACACCTCTTCTCACCACCCCCTCAACGCCCAGCCCATAAAACCTGGATGTTTAAAGAATTCTTGTTACTAAGGTGTCACTAACAGAGATTAGTCTATTCACCTTCAGGCCAAATCTCCTCCCCACCTCTGATTTGGAGATAACCTAGACCAGAGTCAAGATCATCTTCTTGTAAAGATGGTTTATTAGGGTAATGTGACTCTTGATGCTTTCTTCTTCAGTGGCTAGTCCTGGGATGTTAAGAGGTGACAGGCTCAATCATTTATCAACAGCAGCTCCAGCTCTGTCTGTTGTTTTCTCTCCACTGTAAAGCTGCTTTCATGCTGAGGGCTAGTCAGGGCATTAGCCAGGGGAGATTGATCTAGAAGGTAACATCCCCCTATCTGGGTTGTGCTAGGATTTTCTTTTCTCTCCTTTCCTGCTTTCCATCTATCTCACCTTCAATATCCCATGGGATTAAGATAATCTTTGGAAAATAAGGAGATGGAGACTTGATTATCATAGTAACACATCAAAAATTGCAGAGCTGATAGTTTGTCTGGGAGAGAGTCCACTCTTAACAAACTGAAAGATTTAAAGCTTTCTCACAGAAACACACAGTAAGGGCATGCTAACTTTTGGCTTCACTGTGGTGTCGGAAGTGATGGGCAGAACTACAAGAGTGGAACACGGAGACCTAGTCGGGTCCAGAAAAATAAAGGGGGATGGTAGTATTTGAGGAGATGAGAAGGAGGGACCAGAGAGAAGGGATTTCTGAAGTGGATTCTGCAGGGGCTGAAGTCGACTCCATGGAAAAGGTTCTTTTGGAACCATGGAAAAGTGCTTTGAGTCCCTTTCTGGGGTAGCTGTGTATTCATGATCAGTTGCAAGTTGGTTTCATTTTGAAAACAGACTGCACCTGTACATACCTGCAGACATCTCAGGTGAAACGCTGAGGTTATATACAAGTATGGCAAGATTCTAGCTTTGGATGAAAACAGAACCTACTCGTAGACCCCATGTTTTTTTGTAATGAACTTCTAGACTCAACATCACAAAGCTATTGTGAGTCTAAAACTCAATTACTTCCTTAAAAAAAAGTCAGATTTAGAAATTTTGTTTTGTATATAGTCAGCATCCATAATACGATTATGCACTAGTTACATAGTGTAGAAGACTCTTCACCCTGGTTTGCAAGAAGCAATTCTTTCTAGGGATAGTCTTTTAATTTGGGAACAAAAGGGTGACAGCTCTACTTGAAGCCAGCCCTAAACCAATAAGTCTTAAAATGTAGTGTCTAGAATATGTTCTTCAGGAATACCACATGTGTTTGTGAAAATGCATATTCCCGGGCTGTACACCCAAGACCAGGAATGTGCATTCTTACTGATCACACATGCTTAGTAAATTTGAGAACTTCTACTGAAGCAGTGCTAAACAGGTTTAGCCTATGTTCACCCATTTCCCATCTCTCATTACAATCGCCCTTACATATAAGGAGACTCTTATGTGTCTATGAACTCCTGGATGATGTGATTCTCATGTTTGCTATAACTAATATCTATTACTGTGCCTGGTAGACAGAAGAATTTTGATGAATATTTGTTGAATTAAATGGAGAAGTAACAATACAATCAGACTCATGGGAGAGCTAGAGCTGTTTGCCTGAGTAATGCTGTTTCAGGACAGTAAAAATTAAGTACCAAAGTCTTCCTTAAAGTTAATGCCTACCTGTGCCCTTTGGGTAGGAAATAGTTCACTTGAGGGGGATGCATGGGAGAAGAATATGATATGATTCTTCTATTCTATTAGTTCCTGGGTAGCTTTCTTTTGCCCATCCTCCATTTTTCCTGATATTATTTTGTGCTGTCGATAGCTCCTTGGTACAGTCATTAACAGAAGAGTATATTTTGCTTTGGTCTTAGTCTTGCTCCTAAGGGAAAAGTCCGTGTTTTGTGTTTTCCCAGGGAGATGCTGTCTCCGGATACTTTTCCCAAAGGACTGCAGCTCTGATTTATCCATTCTTTATTTCTTTTGATTATTTTGGTTTTATTTCATTTCTACCCTTGCTAAATGTTAACAAAATACATGCCACAAAGAAACACATTCTAGAAGATACGAAAGGACAGACCTCATGGCTATTTACTCTACTGGCCATGATTCTGCTCTTCAGTACCTTCATATTCGCCAGTTTGAAGCCTGCCCTCCAGGACAGCATTCTGTTCACAAGTGAGCTGCATACTAAAATGGGATTGGTGCCACCCCCCACCCCCCTGCAGTGTGACAAACCTCTAGTAAGAGGATAATGCTAAGTTCTTTGACCATCTGTCTAGTTTTGTGTTTTTCCTCCTTCCACTGTTAACCAGGAATGTCTAAAAACAGTATTCTACAGCTGGGTGGATTACGTGACTACTGATGTCTAAAGGGGAAACACTCAGTGTTTGTTTCTTAACACTTCCTTTTGCTTTTTCCTTCCAATATCAACATTATAGGATATATTCAAACCCATGAACTTGAACTTGAGTTTGCCAGTGAGGAGACTACTTGAGTTCTGGACTTTACCTTGATGACACAATAAACTTTTATTGTTTTCTTACTGAGAATCTTTACATATCCTCATTAGAGACCACAGGAATGATGCTATTATTATAGAAAATTGAGGTTTCTTGTAAACATTCTGGAGAGTCCTCGACCTTTTGGAAAGGATGGGGTCCCTGCTGAGCTTCCAGCTGCTGAATCTTCCTTTCCTTTTCCTCTAAAACTTCTTCCAGCTGAGTGATCTTCTCAGTCTGAAAGGAAAGCTGTGTTGACAACTCCATAATCAGGCTAATTTTTCGATCACCTTCTTCCACAGGAGGCAGACTGCCACAGGACTCTTCTAGTGTGTTGCCTTCTAAAGCAAACAAGAAAAGGAAAGACTGAGCAGCTTTAATTTGATTTCCCAGAACACAAAGAGAGAGAAGAGGAAAAGCTTCATTTCTCACGTCCTTAAAAGAGAACACAGATGTTGCATCATCTGGTTAGATATACTGAGAATGGAATCTGGATCCAGTGAGGGGAAAGATTCTGGGTGCTCATGAAAAAAGAACTTGGAAGCCTCCAGAAAGGGAGGAGAATCAGTCTTTGCCAACTCTTTTTTATATGCATCGAACTTTCAATTAACGGGAATGAGCAGTCCTTGAAAATCCAATCTACAAAAACAGCCATCCCAAATTTCATGTTATCCTTTTCCCTAAGAATCTTTCACAAGAGCTACAATCAAGCAGAAGTATGCTTCAATTTGAATTTTAATTTCACTAGGGGGAAGAAAAGGTCATTGCCCCTTCTGGGAGAAGTGATAATGAGAAAAGACTAGTTTCTTGACCCAAGTCAGCTTTAGAGTTGGCAGAGGTGTATAAGGTGATCCAGGGAAAACTCTGTTAGCTTGACATCTCCCATAGAGATTCATTTCTTTTAGGTCTGAAGGCTTTTCAGCATTTCTTAATAGAATCACGAATACCTCCTGAACAGAAGAGCTTATCCTTTGTCAATTTCTATCAGCTAACCCTCAGATAAGCATACAGGCCTGAGTAAGGAAGGAGAGAGAGGCTCCAACAAAGAGATAAAAGATTAGTGGCTGCCAGCAGGGAATTCTTCAAAATAAATCTCACTGGATCATCAAAAACTTTAGCTACTGAATTAAACCTCATCCTATTAGACTTTAGTAGTACCACCCTCCTTACTGCTCTCATCCTGAAATTTCCACCATTAAAATAATTTCTCTGAGTTATATAAAAGGCAGACTTCAGCTATAAGAAGTTAGGGATGTCAAGGGCATGGGTATCATTGTAGGAATAATTGAGCCAAGAGCATATGAATGAACCTGACACTTAGTATCGACAGTTGATTGCTATAACTGAAGGTCCAGCATTTACTTAATCCCCAGTGAAAACAAACCCTGCAGCTGCACCTGAGAGAAACATAACTGTCTGTCCAGGATACAAAAGCCTGCTACTATTGTGTACCTACACACCTGCTAAAGATAGGGCAGCTTTGCTGTGGTAGTGCACGCAGGCAGAGAATCACCTATTTCTTAGCAAACAAAACGAATTTGCAGTCATCACTTTCCCGAGGGATCACAGGGTGAAAGCTTGAGCACCGCGTTGTGTGGCAGGCAGGATGCTTTTGGCTTCATGAAAGTGGTGAGAGGAGAGATCAGGCTGTTCTCTGCTCGTAGAAATTATTATTAGCAACATACTACATTTCAAGAATCCATGGAAAAATTTTTGTTCTCAACATTTTAAATTCTAACAATAACATTTAAGGAGATGGTGATTTGAGTACCTTTCTTAAAAAGCAGTGAAAAAATCTCAAATCTCAAAGGAGAATTTATTTTGCTGCCTCTGCAACACGCCTGTGCTTTCAGGAGAGGGAGGCCATATGGTGAGAGAACTTCCTCATCTGCTCGTACGCCAGGGCCTCACTTTTACCTCTATCTGGCCAGAGCTGCACTGTCCAATATGATAGCCACTAGCCACATGTGGCCATTAAGCAATTGAATGTGGCTAGTCTGAATCGGGATATGCTGTAAGTATAAAATACACATTTGATTTGGAAGACTTAGTTTGAAAACAATGTGAAATAGCTCATTAAATTTTAAAAATTGATTACACATTAAAATAATATTTTGGATATATTGTGTTAAGATCTATTTTAAAAATTAATAAATTAATTGTTTTTACTTTTTAAAAACGTGGCTACTAGAAAACTTAAAAATATCACTTGTGGCTTGCATTTGTGGCTCTCCTTATATTTCTACTGGATAGTGCTAGGCTAGAGTTTCCTTTTGGATGAGCACTCTCCGAAACGCAGGCGGATGTCTTCCTTATAGATGGCTCTAGTTAATGTGTACAACTGTTATTTGGGAGGGAGGATTGCTGACCCTCAACCTTTAGCACTAGATCATGTTTTTGTTACCCCAGAAGGTGGAGGCATGGAAATCTGGGCTCGGGAGAATGGGTTCTTGTGGTTTGAAGTGAGTTTTAACAGGAGAGGACAGAGAAGATAGGAAGTGGCAGCCTTAGGCAGTTGGAAGAGGCTAAGGATAGGAATGGTGGGCAGAATGGGGAAGGCTGGGCTTCTGTGAGGCTTAGGGGTAGAGGTGCGCATGAGGAGCCTCTCTCTTTGTACATGTCTGTCTGTCATGTTCTCCTTTCTCTTTGACCCCTCCGTCAATCTTTTCTTTCCCCAGTTTTTCCTTTCCTTTCAGGAAAAGCTATTGTTTACCCATTTGTACATTGAAGAAAGGAGTTTAGTGCTATTCTAGAAGGCAAACTGTTGAAAAGTGTTTTTTGAATTGTTTTTTAAAAAATAATACAGTATAGGTAGAGGCCCGTGGCCGAGTGGTTAAGTTGGTGTGCTCTGCTTTGGAGGCCCAGAGTTTCGCCAGTTCGGATCCTGGGCGCGGACATGGCACTGATCATCAGGCCATGTTGAGGCAGCGTCCCACAAGCCACAACTAGTAGAAGGACCCACAACTAAAAGTATACAACTATCTACTGGGGGGGATTTGGGGAGAAGGGCAAAAATGCAGCAGAGTGACATTACATAGGCGACTATAGTCACTAGGTCCACATCCTCTGTCTCTGCCCTCTCAGAAGAGAGTAGTAGGTAGAGAAAGTGACGCAGGTGTCTTTGTCAGATCAGGCTGCCATAACAAAGTACTAGAGACTGGGTGCTTACACAACAGGTATTTATTTTGTCACAGCTCTGGAGGCTGGAAGTCCAAGATCAGGGAGCCAGCGTGGTTGGGTTCCCGTGAGAGCTCTCTTCCTGGTTTGCAGATAGCCACCTTCTGTGTCCTCACATGATGGAGAGAGACACCACAAACTCTGTGATGTTTCTTCTTATAAGGGCACTAATCTCATTAAGAGGGCCCCATTGGCATGATGTCATCTAAACCTAATTATTTCTCAAAGGCACCATCTCCAAATACTATGTCATTGGGGGTTAGGGCTTCAACACATGAATGGGGGCAGGGGACACAATTCAGTCCATAGCACAGGGAGAAGACCATTGGAAAAGGAATGGAGAAGGTACAAGAAGCTGAAAAAAGGAGAGATGGCATGAGGCCTTTGATTACTACTGTATTGTTTTCATATATTAAATGAAAATGCTGATAAAGAGACAAGATAAAAGCACGTACACCAAAAAAAAAAAAATCTCATACAAGTGTATTTTACTATTAAATGACCTTTTTACGTATATAACAAAAATATTTTTGTTCCGTTTCTAAACACATTATAAATAACAAAAGTGATATAAGCTCTTCAACAAAGTGGGGAACTCCAGGAATCTCACATCCTATTTGTCTTGGAAATAGCCCAAGGCTACCCTAGTGAGTTTTCCAGACTCCACTACTAACCTTCGTATGATCTGGCCTGCAATCCTCTCCCCTGGTCCAGCTTCCCTCATCTGGAAGGGATGTGTGTCGCAAAGGTCCTGACTGCTCTCCATGTTCCCAAATCTCAAACACTGGTTTTTCCTATGTCTTTCCTAGGCTTTCACTAGCAGCTCAGACAGTCTTGCCAAGGCCACGACTGCCTGAAGCATGGAGAATTCTGTCATCTGACCAGATAATCTCAGTGTAACCCCTTACCCAGAGGTTCTAGGAGACCCAGAGATAAGAGGGATTCTTCTATCTGTCAGAGACAGGGGGACAAACCCGACTAGCCACAGTCAGGCTATGAACTCATCACGACTGCTACTGGTGCGGAGGTTTTCACAAGCAGACGCCATTTTTCATGATTTCCTCTCTTTCAGCCTCCATTTAAAATAGGTGTGCAGCAGGAGTGAGAAGGAAGTTTCAGGGTCATGACAAAGAAGAGACAGGAGAAGCCGTGGGGATAGTTGTGCAGGTTTAGAAAGAGGACAGACGACAGGAGCCTTCTGTCTGCAGCTGGGCCAGGCTGTGCTCAGTTTTCGATGTGGGCCCTGAAAGACGAAAGGCCCAGAAGAAATTGTGACATTTGCCTTTGGCCATTTCCAGCTTCTCATTCTTCATACCCTCAAAAGCTTCAGGCTCTCAGCAAAGTGTCAGATGAGAGTTATGTCTGTCAAAAATGACTAAATAGATAACAGCAGAGGTAATTGTAGTTTAAGGAGTAGCTTAGAGACTTAGAGTTGGAATATGCATTTTGGGGTGATCTGGTCTCACCTGTACAGGAATTATTTCTGCAATATCCCTAACTGGTAATTTTCTAAGCAAGTGGCTTTCAGACGTTGGGGTCCCTCAAGGTCTTCCTAGGTCAGCTGCTAATTGTAATCAATGAGTAAAATTTGCATTTGCCATCAGTGCAGCTACATGTTCTCATAGAGATATCTGACAGGTGGGAGGCTGTGATAGACAGACTGGGAAGAGAGCTGGGTACACTTGTTGCTAATCAGAGAAAGGTGTGTTGTAACACTAGGTCAAAAGACCTACAACACGTGAAAACATTGCCTCGTGAATCCGGGAAGTTAATAGTTTTGTGTAAACAGTGATACAGAGCTGAAGGGTGGTCCAGTGAATGGCTGGGAGGCTTTTTTTTAGATCTTCTAAGTACTTCTTTCTAAAAAGGGTGTTCTCTTTTGATCCCTTCACTTATGCCACCACCCAAAAGTGTTTACTAAACAGAGAAATTCTGAGAAGCACAGACCTAGTTTCTGATTCAAATACCTCTAACAATGGGAAGCACACTTGTCCCCAACCAGGTCTCAATATCCACCATGGTTATCTTTTCGTTCATTCGTTCATTCATTAGTTGTTGGGAGCCAGCACATAGAGAATGAATCAGACGCGCTGCTGGCTCCTACAGTTGCAGCTGCAGGGTTGAGCAGGGAGAGGCAACCCTGGGTTAAACCCTAAAGGACCTTCAGGATTTTGCCTCAACAACACCTCCGCTGGATACTCACTCAGGAATATTTACTTTTCTCTCCGCCTTTCAAGCTAATGACCAAGGTTTCCAAGTATTTACTCAATGAGACTCTTACCGGTGAGGTGATTAAATACCTCATTCCAACAAAGCCACCCAGGATTACCGTTTGGCCTAAAAGACTATGTCAGCTTCCTCTTCTGCATGAATGCCCATCACTCTGACTCACCTTCAAGCTGGTTTTGAAAGCTGTGTATATTTCTCAGTAACCACAAGGGAGTCCGGTTTCATCTATTGCCATAGTTGGACTTGAAAATTGGCACATCCTTGTAAACATATCCCTCTCCCTACTTGAACAAAAAACAAAACGACAACAAAAACCTTCCTAGTTTTCTATCCTCTAGACTTTTACAACGAACATTTGAGAATAGTAATTCTCTGAAATAAATGATTCACTTATTTTTTGCATTCTTGTAGCACAAATATTTTACCTCTTGAAAATCAGATTAGTCTTACTTCTCAAAGATTTCTCTATCTGCCCCTTCAATGTTTTTATTTGTACAGAGACCAATCTTTAGAGTGCCAAATGACCGACTTCGAAGGGTTTTCCATTTCTTTCCGCCAATGCTGTGAACGCTTAAAATACATCTGAAGTTGGCGTGTGTTTGTTGATTTGGAAAAAACAAGCAGCATTATAAGAACAGATTGAGTTGACAAATGTTTGGTCAATTAAAAGAATTAAAATGCAGTGTGATATTTGCTAGAAATTTTTGATATGTATCACAAAACTTCCCACATCATAATGATGACCAGTCTTATAATAAGATTATATCTTAAACAGAAAACTTGAGGTGAAGTAGCAGACTGGAGCAAATTTATATTTTCACCTAGCAATAGCCCAACAGTCCCATATCCAGTGCTTAAAAATATCTGTCTGATTTAATAAGTGCTTTGGTGGGAATAAGATACTTAGTTGAAAGCATGATGGAAAGGCTGCAGCCTTGATGTCAGGGGAAAGTACTCAGGAGAGCAGTGGGATCAGAGAGCCCATAGAAAATACAACAAAAAAAAAGACCTAGAAAAAACAAGGAGCAAGAGAGACTGTGTAGGAAGCACTTGTTGCTTCAAGTTCATTGGGCTTCAAGCAGATGCTGTGCCTGCACCTGTCCTCAGAACCAGCGTGAGGGGTCTGGCTGATGTGGATGCTTCGGGAACTTGTTCAGTGTTTGGAGACGAGGTGGGATGAAAAGCACTCATCTCTAACCACTCTGCCGTGGTGGGATGCTCTCACCGCGAGCCATGTGTGGGAGATAAGCAGATCAAGGGAACTGCAGGTTCCTAGCCTCCGTCCTGTGTTCACTCCGAGGCATAAAACACTGTGAGCCTATGTTTAGTATTTATTGAAATGGCTAATTCTCGTGCCCAGCGCATGCAGTCGAAGTACTGCAATTGCTTTATATCTGGCCACCATGCTTCTGCTGCCCTTTCAATCTGGTTTCAACTCTGCACAGAGAGGTCCCATTAAAAAATAAGTTTGGTCTTGACACTCTTTTGTTCAGAATCCACCAATGATTTTTCGTCTCATGAACACTAAAAACCAAGTGCTACAATGCAAGATCCTACGTGATCTGGCCCCCCTTTACCTTGCTGACCCATCTATTCTTTCTCTCCTCATTCACTCTGCTATATTCCCACTATCCTCATTCCTAAAAGACCAGGCATATTCCCACCCCAGGGCCTTTGCATTTGCTGTTTCCTCTGCCTGAAAAATTGTACCCCTGATGCATACATGGTTAGCTCCCTCAATTCTTTCAGGTCTTTCCTCTCCAAAGTCACTTTCACACAATGGCCCCTTCCCTGACCATCCTGCCTACAGTTTCAACCCGGCCCCCACTGCTGAACTCATCAAATCCCTGTTCCCTGCTTTGGTTTACTGATATGCTCTACCTGACTGCTCTATTTTATTTTTCTCGTGTTGGTACTCTTTCCCCCTACACTAGAATGAAAGATCCATGAAGACGGAGCTTTCGATTGTTTTGTTTACTACTGTATCCTCTGTGCCTAAAGCACTGCTTGGCACATTTGTTAAGTCACTTGTTAAGTGAATAAATGAAAGAAAGTTAAGTGCATATATGATACAAAATCACCGTAGCAACGGCCAGTTCAAGGCTTTCAGTTGGTGTATCATTAGAATAGTTCCTAGATTTCCTCCCAAGACACATATTTTCTTTACACGAAGCTTTTCACTACTGCATCTTTTCCCCAGATAATAAACTGTTGGGATTGTACGACATTGCAGCTAACATCTCTGAGTTTCACGGTTTTCTTTTTTAAGTAGAAAAACAGAAACATTAGAACAGGTCTCTTCCAGAGCTGTGACTTAGAGATTCTCAGGAGCTATAAAAATGGTTCTCCAAGCTGGTGCCCGGGAAGCTTCATCAATACAGAGGATCCAGGCCTCATTGCTGAAATTCCGCTTGAGTGAAGCTAGGAGGGTGTTGGGAATCTATATTTCTACAAAGCTCTCCAGGTAATTCTGATGATCAGCCAGGCTTTTGCAATTGAATTTCTGCTCAGCTACAATAGTGAATTAAGCTTTTGGCTAAATCCTAAAAGGTAGGCCAGAAATCTCCCAGGCAAGCCTCTTCTTGACCAGGCAGCAATACACACAGTGGGGGAAGAGAGATCACATCTAATATACTCTGTACGCCCCTCCCTTGTTATCTGACGTGGCTCTGCCTGTAAACATTATTAGCTTACTGCATGCATCCACGGTCCTCAAGGCTCCCGCTCCTCCTCTAATTAGCTTAAATCTCAGCAGCATCTTGCCAGTTCTAACTTGGCTGAATTATCTCCAGAATATCCAGAGACAATGATGACTGTTTAGAGGTTTGTTTTTGCTTTTGCTTCTGTTTCTGCTTCCAAATGAATGGATGGATCTATTTCCTCATAGGCAAGTCTGAATAGGAGTCTCTCTTCCATCCCATGAGGAGGGGGTGGGAGAGGGAAGGAACCAGAGGAAGGGGAAGAGAGAGAGAGCATGCTTTGGGGTGGATGCATAGTGACTCTCCAGCTTCCGTAAGAGTTTAATAGCTACCACCACCACGCAGGGCACAAGTGAATCCCCTTCTGCAGATCTGAATCCAGAAGTTTCTTCTTGGAGCTTGCTGGAGTCAGCTGATATGTGCAAGAAGATTGATAAGAACATTATCACAGAAAGATGTGTAAATACCTTCGCAGTAGCTCAGGAGGGAGGGAAGGGCTGTTTGTGTGGAAAAGCAAGTGAGGACATCACAAAGATGGTGCCACAAAATGAATATAGGCTGGCACATGGCGGGAGGTGGGGAAACTCCCAGTGGCCAGACATTGCTGGGTGAGCAGAGTGCGGTGCTGTTTTCCACCTTCTATGTACACGGGTAGGGCAGTGTTTTACTAGGCAAGGGTGGGACAGCGTAGGTTAACTTACCCCATAGCTCTCTTTCTGGGGCAGGGTTCCTTCCCACCTACTTCAGGGTCTCAGATCACATCGGATTGTTCTGCAGAAGGAATTCTTAGACGAGGTTGAAAAATGACACAAACAGTGTTAGCATAACCATGCACCTGAGTTATGCCAAGAGGAGATCAATCTAAGCAGCAGGAAGGGTTTTTGGAACCTCTCTTACCTCTTCCTACGAGCAGGACCTGAAGTCCCCTCCTATAAGTCTGGCTGCTTTGAAGAGAATAATGGATGAACGCAATGGCTGACAGCCTGGCCAGGGGCCAAAGGGTAAAAATGGATCCTGGTAGAACAGGAAATTCAAGAGAGGGAGAGACCTAGAAGATTATGAGAAAGAAAGAAAAAAAAAAGAGACAATAGATGAAGGACTGTTTCTATGCTTGTCTGAAATGGAATCAGTATGGATTCAAAGTCAGTTGGAGGAATACAAGTCAGGATGATTGTACATCCTTTGGACTGCATGTTGCACTAGAGTGCCTCACAGTGAGTCTTCTCCCTGTTTTTCTTCCTGATGCCCAGGGCTTATATGAGGGTAAGTCCTTATGAAATGAGGAACACCAATTTAGTTTATCTGCATTAATTTTCAAAAGGTGTTACAGCTTCTAGTGTTGTATGGCATTGAGAGATAAAATGATGCCACAGTAATAATAGTATTGGCAGAGTTATTCTTTGATAATGATAATGAAATTTAGTTGTTTTTTTGTGTGTGTGTGGAAAGACGGGATAAAGGATTATCTTTTTCGTTGATTAGCATTTTGCGTGTTGAATCTATGTGGAGGAATAAAGTTTGTGGAGAGGGGGTACAAGTCATTTTGCAGACTTGACACTGCTATTAAGTCTCTCTGACAATAGGATCCCCCCCAAAGATGTCCCCAAAACCTGTGAATATGTTATGACAAAAGGAGCTTTGCAGTTAGGATTAAATTAAGGATCTTGAGATGGGAAAATTATCCTACATTATCTGAGAGGGCCAAATGTAATCACAAGGGTCCTCATAAAAGGGAATTGGAGGTCAGTGTCAGAGAGAAATTTCTGAAGATGCTACACTGTTGGCTTTGAAGAAGCCAAAGAATGCAAGTGACCTATAGAAGCTGGAAAAGGCAAAGAAATGGATTCTCCTCTAGGTCTGCTGCAAGGAACACAGCCCTGTTAACATCTGGATTTCAGCCCAGTGACACCTGTTTTGGACTTCCAATCTCCAGAACTATACGATAATAAATTTGTATTGTTATAAGCCACTAAACTTGTGGTAATTTATTACAACAGTAATTGGAAACAATTACAGAAGGGAAAACTAAGGAATGTCAGAGTACAATAACGAGAAAAATCTATCCATTATAGGACATTTGGGTGCAGTGTCACCAATGGACTTGAATTTCAATTTAAGGGCAACTGAGGGTTTCCAATATCCAGAGAGGACTAGATCCAGACCCTCCTGCATCCTCTGGAATTTTTTGCCATTGTTATTCCCTCTTCCTTATAAATGTTAACTTTTCTGCTGGCTCCAAGCCATTAGTATTTAAACACACTCAACTGCTCCATCTTAAAAAGGAAATAAAACACTTTCACTACTTAATGCCTGTTTCAGCTCCTGCTCTACCACTCTTCTAACCTTTACAGTCAAGTCTCTTGGAAGAGTCATCTATACTCTGATTCTCTTTCCTCCTACTTTTCTTGTGTCAGCCCACTGCACTCTAGCTTTTATTTTCAATTACAGTCCTAACTTGGCCTCGCTGAGGTTTCTGGTGTCACTAAATCCAATGGACTGGCTTCAGTGATCATCTTGAATGACCTCAACATTTGCCACTGTTGACAGGCCCCATTAAAACACCCTTCCTTTGACTTCTGCAATATGACACTCTCTTTTCCGCCAAACTTTCTGGCTACTTCTTTGGTCTCATTTTGTGGGCTCTTCCTCAGGTCAATTACTGCACGGAGATCCTTACATTCCTGGTTTTAAACTTCCTTCTTTCTCTCTATGGGTATTTTCATTCGTTCCTCTGGCCTTGGTTGCAATCTATTTGTGTGAATGATGCCCACATTTACAACTCTACCTCAGACCTGAGCTCTGGACCCTGATCCCTCCATTGATAGATCTCATAAGCATCTCAGATACACTATGTGCAAAACTGAACTCATTGTATATCCTCCAAAATTGGTATCCTTCCAGTGTTCACCAGCTGAGTGAAATAGCATCACCATGCATCTATTTGCTAAAGTCAGAAATCTGAGAGTTACTTTAGATTCCTCCTTTGATCTTCCATCCAGCTTATCACAAAGTCCTATTGATTCAAACTCTTAATTTTGTCTAATTGTCTCCATACCCACTAGGTCAAGCAATACACTCCTACAGCATCCTTCACCTCTGTGCCCTTGTAATTCTCATTAAAAAATTATGTTCTTAATCTCTACAGGGTACTATTTTATTAAGGACTTTTCTAAACTCCATTATTTCTTCCTCAGCTTTAGTCACTTTACAGAAATGTAATAGATGGCCATAAAAAACTAACAAGCTGGTAGGGACCACTTATCAGATGATACAAATGGGCTTTACAGTGGTACACCTGAGCACTTAGACATTTATTTTTGGAATCTACAGGGTTCAGTTTAGAAGAGAACAAGAGAAAAGTAGTTTTTAGGGAAGGACATAAAAGTGGTTTGAGTGCATGAGAAGCAATAGCAGAGTTGAAGTGGGTAGGAAAATATGAAAGTGGGAGGGCCCTTGCACACTTGAGAGGAATAGCTCACAGAAACAAACACTGCTTATCAATCTTACCTCCTATATAAGTAAGGACAATTCCTCTACCCTCTAGGTCCTTCTGGCTGGTCTACGAAATGAATTGACATGAGACAGAATAACAGGAGAAAATCAAACAAAGCTTTATGACACATATACATGGGAGAGACCCAGGAAAACTGAACAACTTGCCAGAATGGCTGAGGTTGTCACCTTAAATAACATCTTCAGCTAAAGATAAAGGAGGATGTTGGGGGCGGGAGGAGTCAGTTATGGGAGATTACCAGAGAAAGCACAGTAAATAAGAGTAAAGTTTTCATGCAGATTTAAGTCCTTGCCTTCTGCATTGGTAAGTTTCTAGAGATAAGGTCACCTCCCCCTCTTCTTGGTACTGAGTGGGGGACACCTTTACAAATGAAGATTTCCCTTACAAATGTAAATGTCTCTTACAAAAGGTAACTTCTGCTTTGTTTTCAGAGCTTCTCCCCTGTCTGCAGTTCCTTAAAGGTAACAAGCCCAAAATAATCCTCACACCTAAGAGATAGTCTTAAGGTGGCAAATTCTGCTCTTCTACATAATTACATCTAACTTCATTTTTATTAACTCTTTCTTTCATTTCTATTCATGAAACTTGCTGTTAGTTTAAATTTTACAGTAATAAGACAACAGGAAGAAATTGCCCCAGGGATGGGTGAAGGCCAGGAATGTCTCTGCTAAGTTAAATTGGCAGCATAAAAATGCCCTGTTCTTAAGGACAGCTTGTGAAACATGGTTCTTTCAATTCTTCCTCCCAGTGGATGCTGTTCCAATTTTAACAGCTTGATTTTATTTTTTGAAATTTCAAGATATAATTTCATTACAGTCAAAAGTAATGGAGAAATTCCCCAAGAGGGAACTCAAACAAGCTTTTCCTTATTTAGGAAATCTTCTGATATTTGGTACATGTGTTAATTTTGATAGATGTTTTTCCCATTAGTTACCTACTTTATCATGTAAATTACATACCTTGAGAACATCATCAAAGCTAATGGTGAAAGGGTTATTTTTAGGTTGGGCTTAAATCCAAGGCACTTTAGAGAAGCGCAAAAAGCTGTCAAGGAAACTGGTGAAATACTCAGCAAAATGCTTCCATTCTGATACGGGGAAGTTTTGTTGTATATATTTTGAATGTATTGTACATAAATATTAGAAAATAATATTTATAATTTTTAGACATGTCAAAATACTTCCATAATTATGATTTCACTTTTTTCCTTTTTCCATAGCTCCTTCCTCCATACTTGTAAGACAGAAGGAAAAGAGAGGAAGAAAAAGGAAGTGGGGAAAGAAATGAACACTAACAGAGCACTTACTTTATGTCATTTTACGAAGAACTTGTTTAGCAATCATGCAAAGTAAATGTTTATATCTTGTTTCTATTTTTATGACTGATACCAACGGAATCCTTGCGTAGAAGCAGACTTGGAATATGCAGGCCATTTTTCAACCTCATCACCACTCCCCCCTCCTTCTCCCCTATCTCTACCATCAGGTATTTCATATAAGTACATGTGAGCCTTGTCCCACCAGCATATTCTCCTGATCTGAGGTCACAACATATCCCTGGGTGTCATATTCTGAGTACTTCTCAAGTATTTATGGAATATTCCTGACTTT